CAACGCACTATTACAGCGCACTATACACGCCACGATTACAGCCCACTATTACAGCCACTATTAGCAGCCACTATTAAGCCACTATTATCAGCACATTATATGCAACAGCACTATTACAGCACTGTTTACAGCACGGTATTCCAGCCACTATTACAGGCCACTATTAGCAGCCACTAATATAGCACTATTAACAGCCCACTATTACAGCCACTATTACAGCCATATAGCAGCCACTATTAAGGCCACTTTACATGCCCTATTGACGCAGCCACTATTACAGCCACTATACAGCACTATTATAGGCCACTATACAGCCACTATTACAGCCACTGTTACAGCACTATATCCAGCCACTATTACACATAATTGCAGCTATTACAAGCCACTATTACAGCCACTATTACAGCATGCAACTATTACAGCCACTAATACAGCACTATTACAGCACAGCATAGTACAGCCACTATTAGCATGCACTATTAGCAGCCACTATTAGCCATTACGCACTATTCACAGGCCACTATCTACCCCAGCTATTACCACCACTATTACAGCATTCGCACTATTACAGCCACTATTACAGCAGCTATTACAAGCACTATTACAGCCACTATTACAGCACTATTACAGCTACTATTACAGCCACTATTACAGCACTATTACAGCTACTAAATTACAGCGCAGCTATTACAACCTATTCAATATTACAGCACTAATTACAGCCAATATTACCATATTAAGCACTATTATAGCCACTATACAGCCACTATTACAGAGGCACTATTACAGCACTATTACAGCCACTGTTACAGCCCACTATCTACAGCCACTATTTACAGCCACTTTACAGCACTATAACAGCACTATTACAGCCACTGTTAGCAGCCCAATTAGCAGCCTATCCAGCCATATTTATAGCCACTATATACAGCCACCATTATAGCGCACTTATTACAGCACTATTACAGCATTTACAGCACTATTACAGAACTATTAGCAGCACTATTACAGCACTATTACAGCATACGCAGCTATTACAATGCCACTATTAACAGCCCTAATTACAGCAACTATTACAGCCACTATTACAGCCACTATACTATCAGCCAGCTATTACAGCACCTATTACAGCCACTATTCGATATATAGCCACTATTACAGGCACTATTACAGCCACTGTTACAGCACTATTCACCGCCACTATTAGCAGCCACTATTACAGCCACTAATTATAGCACTATTACAGCCACTATTACAGCCACTATTAACAGCCTATTCCTGTATTACAGCCACTATTACAGCCACTGATTACAGTCCACTATTACAGCCACTACTTACAGGGCCACTATCGCTATAAGCCAGCTATTTACAGCCACTATTAACAGCCACTGGTTTACCAGCACTATTCAGCCACTATTACAGCCACTATTACAGGCCTATTACAGGCCACTATTTACAGGCAAAAAACGCTATTAAGAGAAAGAAAAGAAAGCACGCCTTTACAGCCACTATTACACGCACTATTACGCACTATACAGCCACATATTGAGCAGACTATCTACAGCGCACTATTACAGCCACTATACAGCCACTATTACAGGCACTATTCCAGCCACTATTCAATGCACTATTTACGCACTATACAGCACTATTACAGCACCTATTACAGCCATTTACAGCACTATTACAGCACTATTACGTCCACTATTACAGCACTATTACAGCCTACTATAGCAGCCTATTACAGCACTATTTACAGCACTATTTACAGCCACTATACAGCACTATTACAGGCACTATTACAGCACTATTATTAGCACTATTACAGCCATATTAACAGGCACTATTACAGCACTATTAAATAGCCACTATACATAGCATTACTATACAGCAGCTGCTTTACAGCCATATTACAGCACTATTCCAGCCACTATTACAGCCACTATTTACAGCACTATTACAGCCACTATTCACAGCAGTATACTAGCCACTATTAGCAGCCACATATACAGCCCTATTACAGGCACTATTCAGGCCACTATTACAGCCACTATTACAGCACTATTACAGGCACTATTACAGCCACTATTACAGCCACTATTACAGCACTATACAGCACTATTACAGGCCAACTATTACAGCAGCTATTACAGCTACATATTACAGGCACATTACAGCACTATATACAGCACTATTACAGCCACTATTACAGCCACTATTTACAGACTATTACAGCACTATTATAGGCCACTATTACAGGCCAACTATTACAGCACTATTTACAGCACTATTACGCCACTATTAACGCCACGTATTACAGGCCACTGTTACAGCCACTACTTAGCAGACTATTCAGCCACTATACAGCCACTATTACAGGCCACTTAGCAATTACACACTATTCGCCACTATATACACACTATATACACGCACTATTAACACCCACTATTTACAGCTACTATTACAGCCAGCTATACACGCCACTATTACGCCACCTATT